TGATTGATGACATTGGATGCGCAGAAAGGCAGCTGGAGAGACATTATATGTGGCCCAATGACAACCAAAAAACCAGAGAACCAGGAACACAGGACAAGCTGAATGCAGAGTCTCCTGCTCATTACAGTTGTATAATGTAGGGGTTTGCAAATGGCAACATAGCGATCATAGGACATGGCAGCTAAGAGATAAAACTCGGTTGCTCCCAGAAGGATGGCAAAAAAATACTGAGTGAAACAACCAGCAAAGGAGATAGTCCTGTCTCCAGTTCCAATATTGACTAGCATTTTGGGAACAAAGACAGAGGTAAAACAAATTTCCAGAAAGGAAAAATTCCGGAGGAAGAAATACATAGGAGTCTGGAGGCGATGATCCAGCAAGGTCAGAATGATGATGGTCATGTTTCCCATGATGCTTAAGATGTAAGTTAGCAGTAGAAAAAGGAAAAGCACAGCCTGAAGCTCAGTGTCATTTGTCAGCCCAAGAAGAATGAACTCTGTCACTGATGTCTGGTTGCCCATCATTATCTTCACACAAATTAAGAGAGACAATAATAATGACAAAGGCTGGAATAAAAGGAAAGGTTCCAGATTTTTACTGAAATATATAATCCAGGTAAAAATATTAGAAGGAGAATTTAAAACTCTGAATCCTTCTCTATCCCTCATTTTAAAAATGACCTCTTTTAATGAAATGATTAACACATTTTCTTATTTTACTTTATAATTCACGAAGCTCCTTCTTCTTAGAAACATAATTATTTCTTCTAAATTGTATTAATACTCATTGCTCATCACTTTTTAATTCATTTATATTTGCCATCTGGGTCTATTTATATTTTCCTCTCTAAGTTATTGGATGCTGTGTGTCACAAGCCTATAGACAAATCTAAAACAAATTTAGAGTAGGGCTATTTGAATTAAATTTCTGAAATTAGCCTCTTGACTCTCAGTTTATTAGCCAACAAAGCAAATACAAATGAAGGTATGAACTATAGGAAAAAATCAAACTTGGTTGATTTCTTCGTTTTACTGTTTTGTATTTTTTCTTATTTCAGATTTCTCATTTTGAATAATAGTTCTGGGTATCTGCTGAAGCTCTAAGCCTCGATTGACTTTTCTCTTAATTCCTAATAAAGTGTCTGGAATTCAGATTACTTATAGTTCCTGGGTCATGGCAAAGGCCTTATAAATGCTATCACATAGGGGCATGTGGATGGCTCAGGGGGTTAAGCGTCCAGGTTAAGCGTCCAACTTCAACTCAGGTCATGATCTCACTGTTTGTGGGTTTGAGCCCCACATTGGGCTCTGCTCACACCTCAGAGACTGGAGCCTACTTCGGATTCTGTGTGTGTGTGTGTGTGTGTGTGTGTCTCTCTCTCTCTCTCTCTGCCCCTCCCCTACACGCACACTGTCTCTGTCTCAAAAGTAAATAAACGTTAAAA